TTCAAAACTTCTATTAGTGTTGGGGCAGAGGGCTTAAAACTCCAAAGACACAGATTTATTGCAGTAGGTTGGTCAGTTATAGGGTCTATCTTGAAAAAGTTTACCTTCTTCAAGATCAAATGCCACCAAATAGCAGTGCTTCCAACATGTGATCACTTTGCTTACACTGGTCTACAATTTTTGAGAAGTCGTCTGCTTCAGAGATAAAATGTGCTATTTATTATGTATTTTGATGTGCTGAATTCAAATATGACAATTAAAACAACTGATTGGCTACTGTTTCTAAGATATTTCAGTTTTTACATTTTATGTCTATGTATATTGTGTAGATAGTAGAGTTTTAATCATAAATTGTAAACCTAGGTCTTTTCATGTGTTTATGGTTGCTTTACATGATAATATTTCACCTGTCCTGTTTATGTAACACTTTAAAAATCAGCAACAGGGTTATATAAATAAAATTTATTATGAAACAAAAGGCAAAAAACTATTCTGTACATAGTTTAGTCCTATTCAGTGTCTACTCGGCGCTTCTTGGCTTGTCTCTTGTATTCATTAAATGGAGCATCTCTTGTCACTGTCCAGCAATAGTCTGCAAGCACTGATGGGCTCCATTTGCCCTGATAGCGTTTCTCCATTGTTGCAATGTCCTGGTGAAATCGCTCGCCGTGCTCGTCGCTCACTGCTCCGCAGTTCGGTGGAAAAAAATCTAGATGAGAGTGCAAAAAATGTATCTTTAGTGACATGTTGCAACCAAGGCTTTTGTATGCCTTGAGGAGGTTTTCCACCAACAACCTGTAGTTGTCTGCCTTGTTGTTTCCGAGAAAATTTATTGCCACTAACTGGAAGGCTTTCCATGCTGTCTTTTCCTTGCCACGCAGTGCATGGTCAAATGCATCATCTCGAAGAAGTTCACGAATCTGAGGACCAACAAAGACACCTTCCTTTATCTTAGCTTCACTTAACCTTGGAAATTTTCCACGGAGGTACTTGAAAGCTGCTTGTGTTTTGTCAATGGCCTTGACAAAGTTCTTCATCAGACCCAGCTTGATGTGTAAGGGTGGTAACAAAATCTTCCTTGATTCAACAAGTGGTGGATGCTGAACACTTTTCCTCCCAGGCTCCAATGACTGTCGGAGTGGCCAATCTTTCCTGATGTAGTGGGAATCTCTTGCACGACTATCCCATTCGCAGAGAAAACAGCAGTACTTTGTGTATCCAGTCTGCAGACCAAGCAAGAGAGCAACAACCTTCAAATCACCACAAAGCTGCCACTGATGTTGGTCATAGTTTATGCACCTCAAAAGTTGTTTCATGTTGTCATAGGTTTCCTTCATATGGACTGCATGACCAACTGGAATTGATGGCAAAACATAGCCATTATGCAGTAAAACAGCTTTAAGACTCGTCTTCGATGAATCAATGAACAGTCTCCACTCATCTGGATCGTGAACGATGTTGAGGGCTGCCATCACACCATCGATGTTGTTGCAGGCTACAAGATCACCTTCCATGAAGAAGAATGGGACAAGATCCTTTTGACGGTCACGGAACATGGAAACCCTAACATCACCTGCCAGGAGATTCCACTGCTGTAGTCTGGAGCCCAACAGCTCTGCCTTACTCTTGGGTAGTTCTAAATCCCTGACAAGGTCATTCAGTTCACCTTGTGTTATGAGGTGTGGTTCAGAGGAGGAGGATGGGAGAAAATGTGGGTCCTGTGACATTGATGGTTCAGGACCAGAAGTTTCATCCTCTTCCTCTTCCTCGTCTGACTCAAGTGAGAATGATTCTGGTGCATCAGGAACCGGCAGTCCTTCTCCGTGGGGTACTGGGCGTATAGCTGATGGAATGTTTGGATAATGCACAGTCCACTTTTTCTTCTTTGACACACCTTTCCCAACTGGAGGCACCATGCAGAAGTAACAATTGCTGGTATGATCTGTTGGCTCTCTCCAAATCATTGGCACTGCAAAAGGCATAGATTTCCTTTTCCTGTTCAACCACTGGCGAAGATTTGTTGCACAATTGTTGCGGCATATGTGTGGGGCCCACCTCTTGTCCTGATCTCCAATTTTGCAGCCAAAATAAAGGTGGTAGGCTTTCTTAACCATAGTGGTTATACTGCGCTTTTGTGATGCAAAATTCACTTCACCACAAACATAGCGGAACTTATCTGCACTGTTCACACAAGTATGAGGCATCTCTGCTCACTTTGGCTAAACAGAAATGTGTCCCTTTGCAAAATCAAACACTGACAAATAAGAGAGCACGACACTGTATGATTTCTAGAGCTGATATAGGGCAATTTGTTCAGCAGAGTGATGTAAGCTTCGTTATGATTGCATCATCCATGACTTCTAGGAATAACATGATGCAATTCATATCATGTATGACGCAATACCAGCTTCAGATTGCATCATTCATTGTTTTGCCTAAAAAGCAAGTACTGTCCAAACCCAGTCATAGATTTATTCATAGATCCAGTGAAAGATGTATTTTAGTCATTTCTGGTTTAAATTGACATCCCTTCCCTTTATAACTCACTTATCCTCCGCCATTCTCAAGTCAAGGGTCGTATATACTGACCCAATAACATATCTTGAAAACTACAGCCAATCAACAATTTTAAGCATCATTTTCGTTCTCAGTGACCCAGAATTAGTAAAGTTTGACTACATTTATTTCAGAAGCATTTTGGCTGTAGAGCAGTGTTATTAGCCAATGTTGTTGATTTTATTCCAGGAAGCACAGCATTTAAAACAACTTGAAAACATAGATGCCTTGACATCTGACAAACTGTCTAGTGGGAGGGACCCTACCCTACCCAGAGTTGGGGTTACGCCAATGTAACGCAGACAGAATTTGGCCCTTGGTGTAAACAGGTGCCACTGCCATGGAAGCCTCTCAGCCAAATCTGGTGTTGGCATAACTGTGGATATAAGTTTTGTATTGAGGAAAATCAGGAAGAAAATGGGTGCAGGGATGGTGTCCCTAACCTCTGTTTGCCAAAAGCAGGGAATGAGTGACGGGATGGATCACTTGATGATTACCTGTTCTGTTCATTCCCTCTGGGGAATATGGCATTGGCCACTGTTGGGAGACAGGATACCGGGCTAGATGGACCTTTGGTCTGACCCAGTACGGCCATTCTTATGTTCTTATGTAAGTGGGTAGAGCAGTGCAACTTGCACCTATTTGGCAATCAGCAAGTATGCAAAATGAATGTCACTTCAGCACTGAGGGGTCGAGTTTTATCATATATCTTTTCCCACTAAACCCCTAGGCGTGTAAGTTCCACTTGGTTTGCAGTTCCCCAAAATGCCAAATAGTGCAGGTTGCAGTACCTTACCGCTTGCTACATAACTGTTTTTTTCCGACCAAATTACAGCCATCATCACTTACACCATTGTATAATTTAGCCCACACCATATATTTCCTGTTATCATCTAAAAGACATGGCACATTTTACATTTGCAAGAGGCGCCTGAGACAGGTTTTTGCTGATGCAAATGTGTATTAATTATTAATCATCATTAGTATTATCATGATACGCGTATACAGCATCACAAATTTATACACATGCCCTGCCCTGAAAAGCGCATACCAAAAATAAAACAAACATAGGACAACACTTGAGGAGAGGGAATGTAAGGAGATTGTTAATGAGGAGGAGGAGGGAGGATGGATTGCTTGAAGATCTGGGTTTAAGGATGGATATAACAGGAGTGAAGGTGTCTGTGGATAAGGGCCTGGAGAATATACAGAAATAGGTATGCAGTATGCAGCAGTTTGGGTTTGCTAGTTATTAAAGAAAGGAGGAATAAGCTATTCTAGTTAAAAAGGAAAGTTCTTTCCCTCACTGCATTGCATTCAAGACATGCTGCATCTCCTTCCTATCACCCTGCCCCTCCAAAGTAGCGCTTCGATTTTCAGGCCTGCTGTGATAATTACTGCTTCCCTGATTGCCTTTAGCTAGACATTACATTTTTATCATTTTAACTGTAGAAGATGCAGGGGCATAGTGCCTTTCCAGACTATCTGTGGAGAGTATGTGTAAGCACATGCATACTCATGGTGGTGACAGAAGTTTATTAAACATATTTGTCACAGCCCTAGTGTGCCACTTTAGACCTGAACCTGCCAGGTGCTGAGTGCCTTCAACTCCCACAGCAAAGAGGTGCTGACCTCCTGCAGGTTCCATTTACTTCATCGCAATTGTGGGTGCTCAGCGCCTCTGCAAATCAGGTCCCTATTGACTTCACTTAAGGTGCCCAGTGCCTCACAAGACTGGCTCCTTAGGCAGGACATTTTCAATCATACAGTATAAGTAACTTCATAAATCACAATCCATTAAATTGCCAATAGCCTTTTATGTGGCTTCATCAACCCCAGATTATCCAAGCCCCAAATATCTGCTCATTCCTGAATTGTTTATGATGGGTGATAAATACAGCAGTTATGATAAAAAGCATCAGGGATGTCACAAAATTGCTCCTTTCCTTGTCGCATCACTCATATGCCTTATAATATTTTTCTTCCTTCCCAAATGTCGCAAATATCTTCCATCCTTTGATACTCGCTGCTCCTTATAATAACACTGTCAGTATCTCCTTATAATACTATATATCTGTTCCACATGCTGCCTTTCAAATACTTCTTCTAATACTGCATCTGCCTTTCTTGTAATCTCTCTGAGATACTCATAATGCCTCCTTTCCTTGTCACACCTCTCATATACTCCTTATAATATAACCTGGAACATTTCTGTGCTCACCTACCCATAAAGACTGCCAATGCTCTGAATGACAAAAATGATCTAAAGAAATTGGATGTAGTGAAAAAGTAAAGGTTATATCTCACTGTACTTGAGAAGGATCAGTGTGGCTTTCAGGCTTACTAGCCAAGCAAGGACTGCAGCTGCAGCATCATTTGCAGTTCCAATTTGCCTGGCAAATATAATGAAATTTCATAGTTCTGGCCATTGTGTTGCAGGAAACCTGCTCTGGCAGCATACAAGAAAAGAGAGACAGTGATATAATGCACCAAAAGGATTTTCCTGTCTATCAGGCAAGAGAGTTGATTCCTCGCTAGGTGGTAAGTTGTATATCTTCAATTCATACTACAGCAATGGTTCTCTACATTTTAAGTTTGCAAATTCTCTGCAACTGCCCTGAAAGCAATGGGACCGTGCAGGATTTAAATCAGCACAGAATGTGACCCAAACACTTAGGCAAGTTATTAGACTAACCCAGTTTTTGAAATATGAGGCCAGACTCACTAGTGCTGGCACATGGAGGTGTGAGTTATAGCTCTCTCCCACTGCCAGATCTCTACACCCAAGAAAAGATTCACCCCAGGGGTGGGCATGTTGTGTTGCCACTGTAACCAGTGGTTAAAGGAGAATGAAACAAAGGGTGAGATCTCAGTGCATCAGTTGAGGAGGAAGGGGAGCTGTAGGGGAACACTGCTTAACCAAGCCAGAAAGAGGTGGGGGAATTGCTCTCTGCTTTTAGAACAGGAGTACTTGTGGCACCTTAGAGACTAACAAATTTATTAGAGCATAAGCTTTCGTGGGCTACAACCCACTTCTTCGGATGCATATTGAGTGAAACATATCGAGGAGATATATATACACACATACAGAGAGCATGAACAGGTGGGAGTTGTCTTACCAACTCTGAGAGGCCAATTAAGTAAGAGAAAAAAAACTTTTGAAGTGATAATCAAGGTAACCAAGTACAGACAGTTTGATAAGAAGCAAGTGTGAGAATACTTACAAGGGGAGATAGATTCAATGTTTGTAATGGCTCAGCCATTCCCAATCCCTGTTTAGCCCTGAGTTGATTGTGTCTAGTTTGCATATCAATTCCAGCTCAGCAGTCTCTCGTTGGAGTCTGTTTTTGAAGTTTTTCTGTTTTAAGATAGCCACCCGCAGGTCTGTCATAGAATGGCCAGACAGGTTAAAGTGTTCTCCCACTGGTTTTTGCTTTTAGCTTCCTTAATTTAACTCAGGGTTTCTGCCTGAAGGAGGCAGTTTTAATTTATGCCATGATCCCGTGGGATAGGACACTACCTAGTTACTGGGGTGATAAGTATAAATACTTGACTGACATACAGACACTGTAGGAGTTCTGCTGGCAGAAACAGCAGAAGGGATACATTCAGTCAGATCATCTTCCAGCCACCCTGGCATCTTCCAGCCACCTTTCCCACCCAGTGCCTCCCATTTTTAGGCTATTCTTGTTGCCTACTCCTCCTGGAGCAAGGGGAAGTTGTTTCAACCATTTTCCATCCTCATGACCTCCTCCCCCAGTCTGCTGATTTTTTCTTTTCAGCTCGTTCCTGAAGAGTCTCGGGGCCCAAATATTGCTGCTTACTGGGAATGGGCAAACTGTTCTGGAGAAAACAAGGTCACCCATGGAAGCTTTGCCCAAAACCTCAGTTGAACCCAAAACACTTTTTCTTGGGGATCTGCAACGTTATGATAGGTTCCCAGAAAGCAACTGTTCATGTTCATTACTCATATATCCCGTGTCATTTTGCTGTTACCTCTCCTCAGCACCACGATGTCCATCATCGGTTGTTTTAAAAGTGACATCTTCAATTCTGACTCCCCATTGTCTGCCAGGCTTGTCTTTATTTCTTCTTGGTCCAGCACTAAAGTGTTTCTGTTTCACGCTCTCCTCATTCATTATGTAGAGTCTGCACCCCGTCCATTCCCTGCCCTCCTTCAACACCTTTTGCAGCACCTGAGTAGAATGTACAATATAGGAGTTACCGTCTCTGATCCTGATTATCCATTCAAACTGATGCAGCACCATTGGGATAGATTGGATCTCATTTACATCAGTGTAATTCCAGAGTATCTCCACTGGTATCTGTGGAGCTATTCAGTATTTACATTGGTGTAACTGAAATCAGAATCTGACTCATTGACTTCAAAAGGTTTGTTCCAAATTTATACCAATATGAGAGGAGAATCAGGCGCTCTGACTTCTTCCAGCTTTGAAACTTTCATCCCTCTAGGTGGCTTCTTACTTTGCTCCTACTCAAATCACTAGCTGCTTCCTTCCTTCCTCTGATTTTGCATAACCCAATGAGAAATGAGAACAGGAGTACTTGTGGCACCTTAGAGACTAACAAATTTGTTAGTCTCTAAGGTGCCACAAGTACTCCTGTTCTTTTTGCGGATACAGACTAACACGGCTGCTACTCTGAAACCAATGAGAAATGGCATTTCTCCTCCAACCCAACCCTTTTATTCTCTGCCTGGTTAGTGTCAAACCGCCTACTCATTGTAGACCTCTCTCAGGCTTGAAGTATAAATCAGTTAGTGATGTAGCTTCATATTAGCTTATGAGTGTGGTTTTTTGTAAATATTTATTTATATCTGTGTCTCTGTGTTGAGTCACATTAAGAGGAAACCCAGGAAATGATGATTATGTGAGTGTCATATAATCTACTGTGGAGCGTGCACTATGACTGTTCTGCAGTAACCATTTTACCAAGACTTCACAAATTCCTCTGTCAAAGAATTTGACATTCACTGATATTAAGTCAAATCTAGTTCTAGATTTTGGAGTCTGATATCATGATTAGGAATATTTCTGTATTGAATCTTTACTCTCAAAAAGGCCTGGATTTCTATTTATTTTTTTCCTCTTGTCTAATTTCATGACATTTTCAGGGAAGTTAATCTGAACATAACACTTGCTGAGGTACAGTTCTTTGCAGTAAAGGAAGGAGTTTGAGGTGAAACAAGATTTTTGAGCATATCATTATGAAGTACAGTAAGAATAGGTTGTTGTTTTTCTGAAAGTTCCTGTAAAAAAAATTGAAAGCTTGATTGATTTCTGGAGCACCTCCAGGATTTCTTCTGCAGTGGTGCTATGATGCACCAAATCTGTAAGATATGCAGACAGAAAATTCCAGCAGAAACAGCAAGGTTATGCATACTTTTTTCTTTAAATCTGTATCAGGAAACCAGGCAAGGAGGAGCTGGAGAAAGTAGTAGACAGAAGCTCTACAGTGAGCTAAAGAGAGAGAGGGAGAGTGACAAGTATAGCTTTAGGGGTAATACTGTTTTCCTTATTCTAGTAAAGTTCCTTGCTCGGTGACAACTACACTAGCCTCTGGTTACCAGTTGGCAGATATAATTACATCCTCTAAATCAGCCATGACCACTAAATAGCTGTCATGGTTTTAGGTGTATTTGTTAAAGCTGCTTATATTGATACCAAGAAAAGTTACAACATTTTAAAGTTTTTTGCCCTTACTAAAAATGGCAGCCATCTCCCATTCTCAGATGAAGCCAGGCTGTCCTCACCGAAGATGCCACCATTTGAATGTGGAAGTGAGGCTGCAGGAGTAAAGATGGCCACCCACTCCATCTCCCTTTGTTTCCAATTAGTTTAAAACCAAGGTGCCCTCAGAGAAGATAGGTACCTGCTATTCACCATTTGTGGCCAAGGCAGGACACCATATGGAAACACAGGAATGTGAGGATTACTTTGGGGGCAAGAAGGAAAAGTGCAGTGGGAGACAAGACTGTGGGGACAGAGGAAACTAGGGGATGAGGGGCTAAAAGGAAGACTGTCAGGATTTTGAGAGATGACTTTTAATTAATTAAAATTGCTATTATTTATATTACAGGAGTGCCTAGAGACATAGGAGCTGGAACTAGTGGTGTGGGGGTGCTGTCGCACCTTCTGTTTTAAAGTGTTTATCATCATATATAGGGTTTACAGTTTGGTTCAGTGGTTCTCAGCACTCCCACTATACAAATTGTTCCAGCACCACTGTCTAGAGACCCCAACTGAGATCAGGGTCCTACTGTGCTAGGATCTCGACGTACACAGAGTGTGAAAGAGGTCCTGCCATGAAGAGCTTACAACAGAGGTGACCAGTACCTGCTGATAGTGGTGGGGCAGAGCGAGCGCAGAGGCTTCAGCAGATGATGCTGAGAATGCTCAGTTCGTGTGTGCCCTCCCTTCCCCCATGCATCACGTCTGGCTTACAACCTGATTTGACAAGACAGACAAAGGGTGGGATGAAAGCAGCACTATTAAACTCATTTTATCGATGGGGAAGTGAGGCAAATTAAGTTTAAGTGATTTGTCCAAGGTCACACAGGGACTCTGTAGCATCGCTGGGATTGAACCCAGATCTTCTGACTAATCTGCTTTAATCACAAAACCATCCTTCCTTCAGTGAAATGTCAGTGCTGGCCCCAATCACTTTAAATCAGGCCCTCTGAATCTGTTCCTTTCCTGGTCATTTCCTCCCTGCTGGTATTCAGAAAACTACCCCGAAGCCATCCAGAACTGACTTTCCTGATCCAGAAATACATCCAGAAACCTCTCACGGCTGCTCGCAGACCCAAGCAGTTTTTCTTCCTTTGCCCTTTGTGGGCATTATGCAATCCCAGTAGTTTTACAGCTCTTTGCAATAGTATTTTGAGCTCTTAACTTTTTTCTACTGCAGATCAGAGGGCCACTCATCCTTGTTAGGCAGAGGTGGAATGAATGACTGCAATATGCTTTCTCCTCTCCCTCCTCCAATTCTTTCGGGAATGGTCCTATCATGCCAGAGTGGCAATTAAATTGGACTGAGAGCTAGGTGTAATTCGTAGCAAACTACAGGACGCAGTTTTAGGAACAGCTGATGCCAAACAAGAGAGTCTTAAAAGTAATCTAAAGGGCACTAGAGTCCATTTATATTTCCATGCCTTTTTTTCTCTTCCCCCCTGGGTCTCTGCAGAATATCTTGGAGGCCATTCTATGAAACTATTACCTAATCTTCTCCTTTAGGTCATTTTCAACAGATGCATTCCAATAACTCTTGGGTGACCATATACATTAAAAAAAAGCCAAGGACACTTTTTATTAGAGTTAGAGTGATGCAGGTCAGAAGAGATGGGTCAGGAAAGAAGTAATACAAACTGAACAAGCCCCACAGAGTTTCCAAACAATTTATTTGGCTGAAATCATAGTATGATCATTAGGCTGTGCCATGGGGTGTATATAGTCCATGTTGGTCTGGCAACCAAGGGGTTAGGAACTGCTTGCCAGCACTGATTGGCAGCCTCTCAGCAG